GGCCCTGTCAAGAACAGTCAGCACTCCATGGGAAGAGAAACCCCAGCAAGACATCACAGCCTGGGCACTGTTGCAGAGAAATTCCACTATAAAGTGGAATTCCTGTTATTCTTTGGATCTTAGATATTGCCGATCTGCATCCAAACAGTCAAGACCTGTCAAACTGCCAACAGACACAATGCTTGTATAACTACGAGTTAAAAATATCTTGTAGATGTGATGCTGAAAGACAAATGGCCTCTCTCAGGACATATTTTACTGCGTGTTAATACTGTAATGATGTAGTTGGACGGTTTGAGGTGGGGACTGGCCTATACACTTAAAACCAGTCTTATGATGAATGCAGCTGAGGCTGTAGGATAGTACACCTGGGATGTTCTACACCATCAAGTCATACAGCTTACAAATACTATGATGTAATGGTTCCTCTGCATGTGCGTGTATCAAGCTGCTGTCTCATGTTGTAATGGTTCCTCTGCATGTGCGTGTAGCGATCTGCTGTCTCATGCAGGCTTTGTTGTGTGCACTTTAATATTAGTCATGCAACAGGTTGTGCTGGCCACTACTACTAGTTTTTCAGCCATGTCCTTTAACCTCCATGGCTGTGTAACCCATTTAGCCACCTTTCTATATGAAGAACTGCAGTGTATGGGCTTATTTATTCTGGTAGACACCCTTATGATTATTTCAGTCCTGCTTATGTTTTGGATGAACCATCATTGAGAAGTAGTGCCAATGAAGACCCAGAGATGACTATGATGTTAAAAAGCTTTTTCTGTTAGACCAGAGTCAGTCACTACTTTTGTCTAGTAGCTTGTATAAGCAAGACCAAACCTTAAGTTGTTTAATAGTCTGCCATTTTGTGCAGTTCTTCTAGCTTCCCAGCAGTGACTGTACATCTTAAAAGCAAGACACTGAACACCATTTAGTCCTAACGACCCACAAAAAAGCATAGCATCAGTGTATTGGGAATCTGACAAGTGGCCCTTTTCATCTGAAGAACACTTTCTGGGAATTTTGCATTTTGACTGCAAGAGCGGTGTTTCCGTTTTGGTTCCTTGGTTTTAGTTCCTTCACCAAGAAAGTTCCTGCTTTCAGATGGTTTAGGAACTTTTACTGTGGAGTTTATTTTACCCCGCAGTACTCAGTCACACTGTAAGCAAACACAGATTATTCCTAGTATCAATATTAGATCTGAAGACAGGAATTTCTCCTGATGCTGATGATGTATAACCTGCAGCTGTACTGTAAGCTGATATCTGAGTCAAAAAAAATGAGTAAGATGAAAAGACACAAAGTGTAAAAGCACATGCATAACTACACAAAGGCTTTGTGAGTTGTCTCAGTGCATGCAAAGAGTCCTGAAATTGCGAAGGTGAAAATGTTAATTAGGCATTTCCCTTGCTTTCATCTGTGTGGTAATGGCTGTGAACCTCGACCCTTGTGAATAAATTCCTTCAGCAGCCTGTAAAACTACTGGAAGTCTCATTCTGTCTTATGCATTACTGTGTGTGTGTGTGTGTGTGTGTGAGAGAGAGAGAGAGAGAGAGAGAAGTTTAGTCTTTTCCCCTCAGGGATAATGTAACATTTAACAGTTAAGTCTTAAATGTTAACATCTTAAAATGGAAGTTGATATGGGGCTAGATTCAAAAATTCATATACACAATTGTGCAAAATACAAGCAGAATGGTTTATTTTTGTCAGTTTCTGTCTTAACTTTAAAGCTACTCTACCTAATTTCTTTTCAGATGACAGGGTCTGGTTAGATGTAAAACAGACTTACCAGAAACCACTCCTTACTGCTCTTTGCCCATCCCTTCCTGTTTTACAAAGCATCGATGTGAGCATGAAGTCTGTTTGAGACAAACAACAAAATACAGCCTTCAGTCTGAAGCTAACATTAGACTAATGAGAGCAGGTCAGTCCAGTAGAACATGGATTACTGCCTGTGTGATGCAAAGCACTAACATTACACAACACTTGAGTTACTGCCAAATTAAAATCATTTTAATTCAATACAAAGGTAGAATCATGACCATGTTAGGTTGCTGATGTCACCATGGAAGATGCTACATTGGAGTGTTGAGGTGTTTTTTTTTGCGCAGTGGGTGAGGGGTGGGGGGGGGGGGGGGGGGGCTCACTTTTAATATAGCTTCAGTCCTTGGAGGATAATGCGCTTCCAGAGGCTTTCCAATGCGAACATACATAACCATTGTAATCCACTTTGCATCCATAGTTTAGGATGGTTTGTATTCTTGATCACTTCCTTTTAGGTGCACACATGGTGTCACTAGCATTACAACTGTCTTTTTAAACTCATTCTGTGATACAACATGATGATTCAGTGTAGACGAGTCATTTTTCTGTGTGGCTTATCAGACATTTAGCATTGAAGGACTCTTTTCTGACACCTGCAGGGTAGAGCGATGTGACCCTTACAGTGGCACATTGTATTTTCATGCTGCCCATCAATCACTTACAGCAGAGAAAGCATGCAGAAAATAATCTCATGAAAAATATTTTGTTGGGGGGATTTGTGTGTCACTTTGGTGCTGTGTTTTAAAATTGCTCATTTGTGAATCAATGCCATTTTTGAAATAGACAGAGTCAAGCTCAGCCAGGATCTTTGAGCAGCTATCTTTAGGGGAGGTGACAGTGGTGAGGTGGGTAGAGTAGTCGTCTCACAACCGGAAGGCTGAAGGTTTGAATCTTGGTGCCTGTAGTCCACATGTCGAAGTGTCCTTGGGCAAGACACTGAACCCTCTCGTTGCCCATGATGGTGGCGCGTATGCATGCAGTGGCCCGGGGCCCTCGGCTCCAACCATAATTTTGTTGTACATGTCACAATGTTATAATGACAATAAATAAAGCTTCTTCATCATGCCACAGATAAAAGTGTTGGCAAGTCCACAACTTAAGTGTTGTTCTGAAATTATTCCTGGCTTTACACGCTGTCCCAACAGCACCACAGAAAGTACCTTTATTGATCTCTCATTGTTTTCCATTTACTCTTACATATCTCTGTTTCTGCAAAGATGCCAAAACAACAATTTCCCATGGTAGGAATTCCTTAGGTGGATAATGAGATATAAGTTAGAGTGAGAGTTATGTCATTACTTAGAGTTTCTGCCTACAAAGCAACTGATGAGGTCAATATAAAGCAGTTTCCAAATTTGCTGCCTATCTAGTACTTTTTAAATTTTAGGCTGGAGAACATAACACTGAGGAGGCAGGCATGACTAAATTTGGATTTGGAAAGAACTCATTATTGGCTCCCTGTTAAATGTGTTTTTTTTTTCCTCCCATGTTTGAGGCTGCTGTGCTCTTACTATGTGGGTTGGCAGAATAATTTACATTGTACTCTTTAAAACAAACAGGCCTGTCACACCACTGCTGTACCTAAAGCATTGCAGCTCATAGATCTTGAGCTTTGCAAATTTTGGCTTTATGGATATACAAAAGAAAAAGTAAAGAATGGCGGTGTGGTTTAGAGCTACCTTGACTTAGAAAAACACTCAAAGCAGTGTCCATTTGCAATTCACAAGCGGCATCAGCTGATGTGAGCCATGCCTCCCAAAAAGGAGATCTCAGAATACCTACGATTAGTTGTCGATTTGCATGTAGCTGGAAAGGGTTACAGAGTCATCTCAGACTTTAACTATGGAATGAAGAGTATCTATACACATTGCCTATAAATGGAGACAGTTTGGTACTGTGGCTACTCTCCATAGAAGTGGACACCCAGCCAAGATCACTCAGAAAGCACAATGCAGAATGCTCAATGAAGTAAAAAAGAACCATAGATAACAGCTAAAGGCTTGAAGGATTCATTGGAGTTGGTTAGCATTTCTGCTCATGACTCCCCAAAATGCAAAATGTGGAATAGGCAGGGTATCCGTAGCAGGACACTATGGAAGAAGCCATTGCTCTCCCAAGACAACATTGCAGCACACCTGAAGTTTGCCAAAGGCCACCTTGTCATTCTACAACACCATAGGGAAAATGTCCTGTGGACAGATAAAATGAAGGTAGCATTGTTTGGGAATCACACACAGCACTGTATTGCATAAAAAGATTTGTGTACCAACATCAAAAACATCATCCCAACAGTGAAGTATGGTGGAGGCAACGTCATGATTTGAGGCTGCTTTGCTGCCTCTGCACCTGGACCGCTTGTCATTGTGGAGGGGAAAATTAATTTGCAAGTTTATTAAGGCATCCTACAGGATAATGTCAGGGTGGCCGTCTGCAAGCTGAAGCTCAGAACAAGCTGGGTGATACAGCAGGACAACGACCCTAAACATCGAAGTAAATCTACTACGGGATGGCTTCGGAGACACAGAATCTGCCTTTTGGAGCGGCCCAGTCAGAGCCCAGACCTCACCCGAATAGAGATGCTGTGGTATGAGCTCAGTAGCCACGTTCACACCAGACGTCCTAAGAATGTGGCTGAGCTGAAGTAGCTCTGCCAGGAAGAATGATGCAAAATTCCTCCTGAACATTGTGCGGCTCTAATCCACAGCTACAGAAAGTGCTCGCTTGAGGTTATTGCTGCCAAAGGTGGTAAAACCAGTTATTAAAAGACTGATGCCATTACTTTTTACACCATCATTTTGTATGTTTAATGGGTGTGTTCAATAGAGGCACAAAAGATCATGACTGTTTGTGTTTTATCATCTTAGAAATATTGTTTGTTGATCATATCACATTTCATCACCAATTTAGGCAGAAAAACAGGAAATTGCAAACAGTGCCATTACTTTTCCTGTGACTGTCAATATTCCATTAGCTCACAGAGAACCCCAAAGTAATATGTTAGTTATATTAGTTTTATAGGAAACAAGCTGTTGTTTTCTGTCTAAGGACTGGATTTTATTTTACTCTCCATGTAGCTTTACAAGCTTAAAATGCATACATGGCTGCTAAAGGCATTCTGTTTATGTAGTGTCCATTAAGCAACACTGTGACTCCCTTTTTTGCCACCCCCTCCCTCGTTGCAGTCATTGTCTGCAGCAGTGGTCCAGGTGTTCACAGCAGACAGGAACTCCAGCTGGAACAAGAAATGCTGTGGGGTGGCCTGTCTGGTCAAAGACAACCCCCAACGATCCTACTTCATCAGGGTCTTTGACATCAGGGTAGGTAGATCCCAAGGACATAGCAAGTCTGCACACTGATGATTGTACCTTTGTGGTTCAACACTGCAGTAGTAGCTGGCTGTGGCAGAAGACCAGATGATTGTACTCACCATAATGAATATTAGCGGTGGTGTCCCACTGTTCGATATTCATTATGACCTTATTTTTATAGATGCACAGTTGAATCTGTGGGACATCTATTCGTTAAAGGCCTATAGCACTTGCTGTCTGCTGTAGTAGCTGATACATAATCCATGTGCTCTTTATTCCACACTGTCTTTGTGTTGTTTCTACAGGATGGTAAGGTGATGTTTGAACAGGAACTGTACACCAACTTCAGCGTCCAATCTCCCAAACCATTCTTCATCACATTTGCTGGAGATGTGAGTTGACCTCTGTATACATTCTCACATTCCTTGGTTTTTAATTAATGTATTAGTTTAACTTGAATTTCTTGTTAATTAGTATCTGTTAATGAAAAAGCGTCAGCACCAGTGTTTGCCTCTCCTCCTGTTTTGTTTTCCCCCATTGATTTTTACATTAGAGTCTTCAAACAAACCTAATGTGCTCATTAAAACTTAGCAGGTCATGTCACAGTACTTGAAAGACATTTCCACTGTCATCTAATGATGAAAAACATTCTGCCAGCTGTACAGTAAAGTAAATTTTTCCTGTTTTACAAGGTGTGACTTCTTTTCATCAAGCAAACAGAGTTCGTGCCTGGCATATTGCAAACACGGCACACCTACTCTGACAAACGCATACCGGGCCTTGCAGGTCAAACTGTTGCTTTGTGAATTCAAAAAGCAAACATTTGACAAAATTTGGTTCTTAATACATTTTAAATAGATTTGGATTCAGAGCCAGTTCTTAATGCCCTCCCCTAGACAAATATCCACAAAACAATTGATTTGTATGTGTGTTTACAGACATGCCAAGTGGCTCTGAACTTTGCCAATGAGGAGGAGACCAAGCGTTTCCAAGGTCAAGTGACAGACCTAATGGGGAAAAGACAGAGGAAAACTGGTACCAACTCACTGCTGCTGCCCACTTGCCGACATACCTACCCCCTGACATAACACACTAAAAAAAAAAAAGAAATGTTTAGGATATGTTTATCTTGTGTCCACAGTAATTGAGCTTTCTGAACTTACTCCACATCAAGCCATGTTTTTACAAGGATGCAAAAAGTATCCTACAAATGTAGCAACAAGGAGTCATTTTGGAATGGTTGCCTGGCTTGTGTGTCTTTAAAGATGCAGTAAGAGCTGGATGACTTGACTAGTATGGGCACAAGATCAAATTCATTTGTAAACATGTCTTTTTTTTTTTTTAACAGCGCTCAACCACACAGAACTGGGCAAAATAGTCTAGATATCAGTACATAAACAGAATTCATTTTGAGGCACTGATATGATGTTTATTTTCAATGAAATGATTTCTATTCCAGTTGAGACATTTGTTTAGGGCCTGGCCTTTTGTATCTGCTAAAATGAAAGTGTCTTTTACCAGAGTACTGAAAAAGATTTTTCTTTTTTACGTTTTTGCCTGGGTCTGTGTACTACCCGCTCCATGCTTCTTCTCCTGATCTCTTCACAGTTCTTAGAACCATTGCTAACTCAATTTTCAAACCTGTCAGTCTGCAAACTTTCCTTCAGTTTCAGCCTGATCAAAATTCTGTGACATAGCTTTTATAAAAAGACATGCTACTCATTCATCTTAACTAAATTTGGTGCTGTGATGCATCACAACTCGGCACTCAGGCAGCTGAAAAGATTATGATGACTGACCCAAGGGGGGCAGTGTAGTGTCAGGTTAAAATAAACGGAAAAATATATCGATTAGTTGTGAGGACTTAATCCCTCTGTCACCGCATTCTCAGTGTTAGTTTGTCATGAATTGAACACAGTGATTTATGTCAGATGACATTTGTCAGCATTTAGCCTTTAAAGTGTTTTTTATTAGTTAAAATACACAAATAGCACCCCAGAAATGTATTTTGGTCCAAATCAAAAGTGTGCTCATAACCTTTACACCCACAGCTATACTTTGGGATTGCAAAGTATGTCCTGTATTATACCTTTTGTCTTATATCTGTTGAAGGAAATAAGCTCTGAATGTTTGTTCATCTGACCATTCTGAGGATTCCAATTAAAATACAACATTAATGCAGAGCTGAACAGATGCATTCTTAAACAAGTTATTGGCACTCAGTCCTTGCCTTTCTTTATCGCTTGCTTGACTAAGACTGTGTGTCTTTCTTCTTCCACCCCTCTGGGTCATCTCCTGACCTTTCCAATGGATCGTTTTCTATCATCTTTTCCCCTCCAGCCCTCTGTATTGGGTGCCTTCTCTTACCTACAGGACTTCTCCTGTTTTGACCTCGAGCCATTAGAATTTTGCAGGGTGTATGTGTGTCTGCAATATCATTAATGTATAGTATTTATATAGTTTATACAACTATATATGAGTAAGAAAGAGAGGTATATGTATTGGCCTCTAGAGAGTTTGGTGTTTTGCACCACTGAATTTGTGTGGATACAATGCTAGCTGCCATATGTGTCTGTGTATATGAGCTTGTCTGATTAACACACTTAACAAAACATTTTACCTGGCAGTTTTTCCCAGTAACTTTCCTTTCTGTGCAGCACACAACCCTGCCGAGTACTATGCTTAAAATCCAACACACAATCTTCTCTTCCTACATCAGCCCTCTCGCACACCCCACACCTTCTCTCTAACTCACCCCACTACTTAGCACAGGATTGTAATGATGTCATTTGTCTGTGTGTTCACAGAGAAGAGACGCGACCCTCAGAATGGTATGTTTTCCATTATTTTCTGTTAACAACTTCAGAAAAGATCAGAGGAGAAATGTAAAACCAGAGTCTGACTTGAGTTGATGATGATGATGATGACACTTTATTACAGACTCAAGGTCCAAGTTCAAAAACAAATAAAAGCAATAAAAGAACAGTTTAAAAACGAAACAATAAAAACAGAAAATACATAAAAACGAGAGCACAAGAACACCCATAAAACTACTGCCCCTTTAAAAGTTCCAGAGAACAGAAGTAAAACGCAGAGAACCGAAGTAAAACGCATGTCACTGTGTGCAACATTAGTCAACAATAAAATGATATGATTTTTTGAACCATTCAAGCGACAAATAAATTTAAACATCAGGTTTCTTAAAACAGTGGAAAATGTACTAATTCGAGATGACACAAACAATTCGCTAGCACTCGTCCATCTATGCTTTCTCAATAATATCCTTAGGGCGTCGTTGTAAGCTACTGACAGTTTCTGAAGACTGCCCTTTTTATAATTACACCACAGATGAGCAGTGTACAAGGAAGTACAATACGCTTTAAACAAAGCCAGTTTTACTCCCACGGAGCATGCACCAAATTTCCGTGCCAGTATATTAGCTTGTACATATAACATGCGGCACTGCCGATATATATCCACGTCATCAGACAAACAATCATTAATGACATGACCCAAATACTTAACTTCACTGCACACAGTTAAAATATTATCAGATAACTTAAAAGAAGGAAATACAAGGGACCTGTCCTCGTTTGTACGGCATATCATAATGACACTTTTGACAGCATTATACTTGACATCGTGACGTTCCCCAAACACTGAGCACACATTCAAGAGCTGCTGAAGACCTGCTGAGCTGGGACTAAAAATCCCATGCTTTCAGTTGGATGGTGCTGAAAGCATTTATGTCGCTTTTGGGTTTCAGGATCACTCAGATTTTTGTTTTATTTGGCAACAATTCAGGATTGTATTTCTTTTCCTATACAGTGTGGAAAGTGTAACACACATAGCATTTCTTATTCCTTATAGAAACATCAGCATATGGCATCAATGAAGAAAAAAATGAACATATAGATTTTACAAAAACAGTAGGGTACTGTTCCTACTTTAAACTAAATCAACAACTGTGTACAAACTATGTATGTACATTGTCTAGTAAAAAGGACCTGTGTCCTATTTCTACACCACACACAAATTCCAAGCAGGTTTTGAGTATGCAACGTGTTTACATTAGAAAAGTGAACAAATAAATTGTACTCTAAACAGCCAGTGTCCACAATAAAACCCTTAACTTATAAATGTGCTGTGGTTTGACACTGTTGTCCCACAATGCAATACACAATGGAAATAGAGGAGCTCCTTATAATTGGAAAAGCTAATTGTGGATATTGATGAAAAAGATCCAGGAACCGCTCAAAAAAAACACCAATAGTCCTTTGAAAAAAACATGATTCTACCTCATGCAGTTAAATTGGCAGCAGCATTTTATAATCACAATATTTGGTATGTTTCAGTGATATATAATCTTGTGATATTTCTAGATACCAACTACAAAGCTGCTGTATATGCAATGACAAATACTGGGTAGTATAGAATTGGGACATAGCTATTGTCGATTCTGCTTCTTATTTTTCATCTTACTCTTTACTGCGGTGTGTTTCTAAGGGATTGAGGCTTCAGAAGAGAAGAATTTGCCCAGTTGATGATTATGATGACAGTGTGATTACATGCTGTCTAAAATAATATTACAGTGCCACGTAGTAACGTCTTAACCTGCACACTTCTACTGGCACTTCATGGTCTCACCCAGCTACTGATTCTGCTCAGATGGAACAGATGGAATAATTTGTGGATATGCACACTTTTGTTTTTGGACATATTGTACAAAACACAGCCTACTTTGAGACTGTAGGGGTGGAAAATGAACCAGTTTTGGACTGACAGGCAGCGTGATTTGACCTGCTGGCTTAGTATCTGTGTATGTGCCTGTGCTTGCAGCCATGCACAGGTCTTCACTACTCAGATGACTCTGTGTATGTGCCTGTGCTTGCAGCCACGCACAGGTCTTCTACATTTCAGCATTTTGCTTAAATATGGGTAACTGGCACTGGTTCACATCTGGTCAGATGCCATTTATACTCATCTATGATGTAGCTAAACCTACACAGACAAAATGTTTGGTGCTGATGGTTGACTTTGAGTTGGTGTTTGTAGTTTAAAAAAAATCACCAGTTGAAAGGAGAATTAAGTGTTCTTTAAAAACAGTGTGATCCATGTACTGGTGTCCAGTTATGCTATCGGGCAGAAATGTTTATACCAGTTTTCGTTATCCTGGATTTGTCATTCATGGTTTCTAAACAAGTGCACCTGGGTTCTGTGATTTGGTTCAATTCCAGAGGAAGTGATCCTTGTCCTCCCACAGGAATATCTTTTTCTCCATTTGTCTCACTCTGCCTTCCATTACTGCTTCATATCTTTGTTACTGTCTGATTTACTCCAGTCTTTCTTTTCTCCTGCTGCCCTTTCTAGCTTTATCCTCTGCTCTTCATTTAATCTGTCTTAATTTTCCTCCTTTCGCTGTCTTTCTCAAACTGTCTTGATTGCCCTGCCTTTTCTCACTCTTTCTCTCACAGATTCACCATGTTTTAGAAACCCCTGAGATTAACACGGGATTAATCGTTACATAAAATCCAGCACTAAATCCAGAATTTACTGGGATTAGATCCATTTGGATGTTTTTGTAGGGAATGAGAGGAGATAGTGGAGGAGGGTGGAGAAATGGTCACATCAAGATAACCCAAGCATGATAATCTAAAAGTGCACCCTGCTGAGATGAAAAGTCAGGGGAAGGATTGCAAAATATGTAGAACTCAGACCGACAGATGCAAGAGAGGACCAGAAATTTGGTGTCTAATTTGCACAAAAAAATATTTGTAGGAGGAAGTTTGGCTGTTGGCTGCCTCTTTCCTTGCTTACATTGCTGGATGTCTGCCTTCACAGCTTACTTCTGTAAACTCCATCAGATGTCTAATAAGGATATTAATTCAGTAAATGGAGACTGCTGCACCAAGTCCATCACAAGTTGACTTGTTTATTGTGGTGGTCTGATGTTTTGGTCGTGCTTTGGAGAGCTTGAGGTTCGTCTTCGCATTCAGATTTTAGGAAATACTGGAATTGACTCTAAACACAAGACAACAAAGGGTACTGTGCTTAGTTTAAGAGGAAGTTGTTCTTTTGGGAATGAAGACTTTCTTTGATGTGATACATCCATCAGAATCTATACTGTATATTTATGGTCATTTCTTTCTTGACTGAGAAAGAAGACTTCTCACCTGTCTGGTGCCGGTACATGGTTGTTTCTGACACACAAATCTTCATTCACATCATTTTTCAACCAGATTCTTCCTCAGTTTCTCTATCTGAGCTTGTTACCATACTGCTCATGCTCAGCCATCAGTTACAATGATGTTCTGCACCACTTTCCTGTCTACTCCCTCTGAGGAACTTAATTGTGAGGGTGGTAGAGGAGGAGGAGCAGCAGCTGCTGC